AAAAAAAAAATATCGAGATGCGAAATTTTTACTTTATACTAAATGATGCTAAATTTAGAAACAGAGTAAATAAAATAATATAGCAATTGTATAAATAAAATTATTTTATAAATAAAATTTATAAAAAAATAGATATAAAATATAAATAAAAAATAAAATAACATTTTAAATTTATCTCAAATTATTTTCGTTTGATCCATTTATTAAAGATTAATATAAACATAGATAAGTCGAATATCTTTTCTATTTTTCAAATCGCTCGTATAATTAATTCTGAACTTGGACGAACTATTGCGGATTAAGCGAGTTTTTATCGTTCCTCGATTCGTTATAGCGTAATCAAGACCAACGCTTTATATATTTGAATGAATGAATTATCGGACGATGATGTGTCGACATAACTGCGAAACATAACTGACGTAATGGTGATGATGTTCACGTGCGTCCGTGATATTTCCACGAGTTGTCTTTAACGTTGCATTCTAATAGTGAAACAGAATCCAAAAATAGCAATGGCAACGACAGCCAAGCAAATATCTTTTAATAACTTTTATTCTCTTTGGTAACCTTCGTTGAATAGCCCCCATCATACAACAGTATTCTCGGATAATAATTATCTATTGTAATTTGCGGTGGTGCAAAATAATTAAAATAATAGAAAATAATCAATAGATTTGCAAAAGAAGATTTGTTACTCTTTAATTTATTATACGCGCCTTCGTTACGATTCTAGTATACGGCTTTATGCATTATAACTCCAAGTATCGCGAATTCTGCTCCATCGCTAACACATAAGTCATTAGTGAAGGATATTGTTTTACGGTCTTTTAGCCTGTAATAATCGTGCCAAATGCGCTGCTAATTTACATACATCAAGTTGAATAAAAATTAAGCTTTAAATAATCAAACAATAGCTTTCCCATTAAATTAAATAAAATTATCGCTTGAATTTTTTAATCCTAGAATCGTTTTTTTTCTCTTCTAGTTTCTTTTCCTTCACAGAAAATAAAGTTTTCAAAATTTACGCCTCAAATAAATAAGCAGTGCTAAAGATTAATAAAAGCCACGTACTTGAACATGAGTAAAACAGCTAATCATGCGATTATTTATCTTATCCGCAGCGAGAGCAGCATGTTCGTGTCCAAGCGCAGACTCATATTGAAGACTTGTGGTACCACTACACCGCTGCAGTGTCTAGAGCCTCTTTTGGAGCTCGTCGAAGAGTACACAGGTTTCGACGATGTCGAGGTAAAGGATATCTCTGGGCGAAGTATATCTCAACGAGAGCACGCTCGTGGTTTGAATTTATCCGTTCTCCAACTGTGAACACACATAAATACCACGAAATTACGAGAAAAGTTCAAGGAAATTAGGTGGATATTAGAGACGAAAAAAAATCAGATCTGATTTTATCAATATTTCCCATTGGAAAAAAATTTTGTTATAGATAAGCAAAGAGAGAGAGAGAGAGAGAGAGAGAGAGAGATTCTAAGGTCTCTAAGATCGTTGTAGGCATGCGGTGTCTATTAAACTCGACTCTGATCATAAAGGAGATCAACTCCTTCCTCTCCTCGTTTCAGGAGTGCTTAGCTATATAACTTGACCTAGTGCGCGCGGATAAGAAACGCGCACTATACGTGGTCCCTCCGCCACGCGAAACGCGTCTCTCTGCCGCCTCCTGGTTTATTGATCTCTCCGCGATATACGCCTTTACTCGAAATGCGCGTTTCCCCTCACGCTATCTGTCGCTCGCGCTGCGAATAAGCAGTCGGACGAGTAGAGATCTTTTTCTTTGTGGCTTCGTCGAGAATTTTGGCATTTTGCGATTCTCTCTCTCAGTGGGAGAAAAAGGAAAATCTTTTTATACGTCAAGTATAATATTTCTTTTCTTATCGAAGCACAAGTAATCTTTTTTTTTTTACAAACCACGCTGCTTCTCGTTTTTGAATTTTGTTGATCATCGCTTCATTTTTTGCTAAATATCGTCATTAATCGCGTTTTTTTTGCGCTTGTTGCAGAATGTTTTTTATTCCCGAAAGAATTACAAGAAGCCGGAGCTCCAGATGTCTCCGCACCAGACGTTCGAGGAGGAAGTTGCTCTCCTGGATTCCCTTTTCCCTGGTAATCATCGTACATGATTTGATTATATATGATTACAAGTTTTTTAAGTTTCATATCATTTCGTTTTAATTGAAATCGAAAACTTTGAAAGATTTGAGAATCGAGAAATTTTAATTCTTGGTCCTTACATTATTTATTCATATTTTAGACGGTGAGGCTTATTGTATGGGCTCGCCCGAGACGGATTGTTGGTATCTCTACACTCTGATCCGCGACAAGCAGGATCCGCCAGAACCTGATCAGACCCTGGAGATACTCATGACCGAGCTGGATGCGGACGTGATGTCAATCTTCACTAGAGATGTTTGCTCGTCCGCTGACGAGGCGACAGTGAAGTCGGGGATCGACAAACTTATTCCCAACATGATTATAGACGACTTTTTGTTCGAGCCATGCGGATACTCTATGAACGGCGTGTCTAAAAATGTAAGTGAAGCTTAAAAATAAATATATGTAAGATCTGTTTTATATAGTATTTCTTGTTCTTCCGATTCAAGCTTCTGATTCTTCATTGCATTACATATATTTATTGTGAATTAAAAAAAGGCTCTTTTTGAAAGAATCTTCATTCTATAAATCTACTTCATATTCAATACGAATTGTGACATATAGAGCAAGAAAAGATTTATGCAATCTAACGATTTTACAAGGGATGCAAGAGCTTTAATTTTTAATGTCCATTACGATATGTTAAAATACTAATGTTTTTGACCTCTCTTCAGGGTAGCTACATGACGATCCACATCACGCCAGAACCCGAATTCTCATATGTGTCATTTGAGTGCAATGTCTCCGAGGCGTCGTACGACGAAATAATCCGTCGCGTGCTAAACACTTTCAAGCCGGGAAAATTCGTCGTGACGATCTTCGCTAACAAGCAGTCAGCGGCGGCCAATTGTCCACGCGACCTCGAGGAACGATCCGATTATCTGAACCGTTCCGGCGACTGGCTGCGCACCGCCGTGCAGTATTGTCGCTTCCCGAATTACGATTTGACTTGCGCCTTCTTCTCACGTTTCCCGAGCTGAGGGTTCAAGGACGCTTCATTCGTCCCGCAACCCGGGACCAATGAAGCGTGCACAATCTCCGTTCCTCTCTGCCTCGCTCCTCGTGATCCTCGTGACTGCGACAGCGCGGCAACGACGATCCCGAAGAGCGAAGGCAAAGAGTATTCCCCTTCCTTGCAGGCTTCTCCGGATCGTAACATTTCCGAAATGATCCCGAGAAGTGGAAATAGCATAGACGCGGTTCGATCGGCATCTTTACCCCATTTAACGACGACAGCAACCACGACGACGACGACGACGATGATAATGAAGACACCGCGATCCAAGGTATATCGTAAAACGTCCCTCAGGAGCCCGTCTCTCAACTGCGACATTGGCGGTGGCAGCATTCTCGAGAAGAAAGGCATCGTTCGATACGTAAGTGCCGCCGCTCAGGAAAAGAAACAGAAGAGAAGAAGTCTCGCAGAGAAAGAGACGGACGTGAGGAGCGAGAACAAGTGGAATCTTGAGAACATCCATATTACGTGCAATCCGCTGTCGACTCCGTATCCGTACTCTACGCCAACAACCACGACGACGACTACCACCACTACTACTACTATTTCTAGCAAGACGACGATGGAGAATGATGAGGAGCCGAAGAGCCGCAGCTGCGGCAGCTTTCTACCGATACTCGCCCTGATCCCGCATTCGGTCATCAGTTTCCAGTATCTCAGCCCGAAAATGAAGTTTTCGTGGTGGCGGAATAAGATCTCGTGAAGGCACGCGTAGACGCTCACCGTCGTCGCCGCCGACGTTGCGCGTCGCGACACCACTTCGACCTGTTTTATGAAGAGACACGTTTCTCTTACCTCGTAGCGAGCTCTCTTTCTCTCTGTTTCTTTGCTTATATCTCTCTATCTCTATTTCTATATCACTTCGGGCCAGTCTTCATCAATTAGAGAAATCCCGAGGAAGGAATCATCTCGCAAATCCATCTATATTGACATTCGCGTGCATGCGTATTAGTTGTAACTTTCCGAGGGTCCTACTGTGAAAAAACAAAAAAATATATGCCACGGTAATCTTAACGCATTTTTGAAACGCGTGGCGTCTTTAAATAGTCTCCTGACAGGTTTTTGTTGACAAACTATCACGAGATTCGGTTCCGTGATTGTAAAGTATTTGAGACGTCAAAGTGTATAATGTATATTAAGATCTAAAGGCTTCGAGAAATTTAAAACCTGAGATTTAATTTTCTACAAGAGCGCTATACAACTTTTGTAACAATAATCTTTCAAATCTTTAAATCTTGTGAAAGAAAAAAGTACGCTGACTATATGTTTATTACATTTTTGTATAGATATTTTTGTTGACGTGTCGTATTGGATCCTCTAGTCGATCGAAGTTCCTCCCTTATACGACGCGCTTTTAAGCTACAATCTTGTACACTTTTGAGAATTCGCTTCTGGAAACGAAATTTTATTTTATGTTGATTTATATTGAATATATAGATTTAAATATAAGATTTAAGTTATCGTATCAGCGCTCGCGTTTCTTTTCTTCTCTCTATCAGAGATATAAAAATATTCCAAGATTCTAGAATATCTATAAGTGGCGCAAAAAAATTAAGAATTTAAAGATCGTAGAACCTAAGAATCCACAGTTCCTAGAATCTAACACCTAACGATCCAAAGACCCTAGAATCTAAGATCCTAGAACGTAAGGATTCAGAGATCTTAAAACTTAAGAAGACACTTCAACACATCGTAGAGTGTAAGGATCCAAACTATTTTGCAGAATGCGAGATTCAAAGTAAAATCGAGCATTCGAAGATTCTAGAATGTAAGGATTCGAAAAAAAGGAGATATAAAATCTAAGCATTTAACGATCGAATATAATATAAATCTGATTTTTCTTCGGCAAAAATATAAGACGAACGTTGTTATTAATCTTTTAATTTTCGAGACATGTACTCGAAAGTATAAAAGATAGAGAGATTTTAAAATATGAGATTAAAAAATGAGATTTTTTAAGTATACAGTGGAGAGACAAGGAAATTTTTTAGTATCTTGATCAATCCTCGAATTCAATTTTCTGTTAAAGCAAAGGAATTTATCGAGATACTTGAGAGATCAGATTTTGTCGTTTACTTTGTGTAAGATCGTTACATGCGATTATTAATATCGCATTGTAGAGAACGCAAGGAGAGAGCAATGATCGGTCTCATCGATCTTCCTTGGATCATGTTTAGAAACAGTATTACATCGATAAACCTATCGATGTAATGCATACCATGACTGTATCAATATAGCAATTGTACGTCGCAGAATATAAAATCGATTTAACAATTATTAGTTGTTGACGGATGTCGTGATATGGAAAATAGCATCAGGTTTTCTTTTTTTTTTTTAGCATTTTTTGTTCCTACTTTATAATATATGTTCCGTTAATTATTATAGTGATTATCCTTATTTATGAATTATGAGAAGAGATTGCGAGTCGCGCACACGCACGTACTTGTTTACTCGCTCGAGAGTAATTTTAATGATAGCTCTCGCGATTGAGTTACTTCGATTGTTATAATTTATATTGGGATTAGCAATCTGATGTTTGTTTCACGCTGCTGTTTTTTGTTCGTTAAATCGGTGATCTTGTTTTCTTTTTTTTCATACGAAATCGTACACAGGAATATATTGCACTTGCTACAATGGAATTGTCAAAGTTGTCATTTAATTCGGTCTCTTGTGTATGTTTTTTTCCGATTTTAATAAATCATTTTCATAAACGCATGCCATTGTCTTTTATTTTATCGAATTTTCTTCTCCTGTCTTTACTCTTATAAGATCTCATCACGATATCGCCTCAATGAGAAAAATCTCCTTCTTTTTCGTTTTTATCTTAATTTATCTGAGTAAATAAATATATAAATTTATGTAAAACATCATTATAATATCTTTTGAATAGTCAGATTTCTCGATTTACCTCGCACGACTGACTTGAATTATGACGTTAAAATTAAGAAAAAAAATTCATATTTCTCGCTTTTGACATCATAATTCAATATAACGTCAATGAAGGACCAGATATCTAAAGATTGATTTCACACTAATGTCACAATTTTCATTATATATCATAATCTTTTCTATTATTTTTTGTTTTACTTTTTTTCATTGTCTTTTTTTATAATATTAATGTTATATTAATAGTAATTTTCATTCTCTATTTCATATATTGTCATCGGAGCCGTTACTAGGCAGTATGCAATATACGCTCCAGCGTAGGGCGCAAAATTTTAATAGGTGCCAATAATTTTTGAAGTTTTCAAAAGCATGTGAAAATTGACCGAAAATTGGTCTGCGATGACCGCCTTTACCCGGTTAACCGGATATAAGATTTAATTTTAACAACTTCGATTACAAAGATATTAAAGAAATATTCGCAAAGTAATTAACCCATTCCGTTTCCTTGTTTGAAGTAAAATAATTCCAAATTGCTCCTCCTGATATTTAATATTTTATTCCCATTCCTAATATTTCCTCTATTGTGCGCAGGGCCTAAGACCAGAAAATATCATTTTTACATTACTTTTATCTTTTTACAAAACGTATTATTAAGAAAAAAGATATAAAATATATTAACCCTCGACAATATTAAAATAAATACAAAAATAAAAAATATATATAAAAATTCAAAAATATAAAAAATAAAAAAAAATATATAAAAAAGTAAAAGAAGCAGGAATTTTTTTAGACTATTTTTTATTTGCCTTTGCAGCTTCGCGCTGGGGTGCACGAGCGAATTACAGTGTAGAGACATCTAAGACAGTCGTAACGGCACCGATTGTCATTAATCATTAAATCTATATTTCCACGAGTTCTATTAAATATAAATAAATAAGATCAATCGCGCGTGGTGTACGATAAGCGCGGTTAAAGAGAGAGTACAAATAATAAATCGATATAAAAGATTTAATTGATAGCAAAATGTCAACACGATAGAAAAAGAATATTACTATAATACTCCGTGGAGTGCTTTCTGAAGCATTATTATTCGTTGCTAGATAGATCACTGTTGCATGCTAAAGTAAATGAATTTGTGTAAAATATATCTATGAAATAAAGATTATATTTAGTCAAAATGAAAGTGTCATATAAATTTATTAGCCGTCGTTTTTTTCAACGTAAATTGACATTGTGATTCTTTTTGTTCAAAGTTTTGAAATTTTGAACCATTCAATCTTTTTTTTTTTTAAGAAATAATAATTTAAAAAAATGTTTTATGTATATTAGTTTGGTTTCTTTATATTTTTTATTTTTTTTCTCGATACCCTTAAAATTGTATGTATGATAAACAAATTATAGAAATATACTTGTTGGGAGGAAGAGGAAGTATTTTTTATTTTTAAAAAGCCATCGTTAGATCGTGGCATTCAATTCAGTGTGCTCGCGTTGACTGAAACGCACACGCGCTCCACCGAATACAGCGTTGAATCTGGATCGAAAGCCGTGCTGGATGTTCCGCTGTGCCATTTCCGCGCACTCCTTCGCTATCGCAGATTCATCCCCCTCGAACTCGTTTTGGATCCTGTCCAGAGCTGTGATATGAAAAGCGAGCTTAGCTTTCCATTTCAAAATGTTTTCAAGATTCATCATAATGTAAGAGGAAGTATATTTTTCTTTTTCATATTTAACTTAGAATTGGATTAAAATTTAAATATTTATTCATTCTATATGTCTTCCTCTTTCTTTTCTCTTGATTAATTAAATTTCATACCGAGTCTTCGTATAATTATTCTCAATCTTCGTAACGGAAATCATGTTACCTTTTTGCAGATCCATCTCGTCCATTTCTGTGTTGCTGATCTTTGAAAGCTTGTTCCTGAAACTCTTGGTGATTTTTTTGCGAATGTAATCTGCCTCGATCTCCTGCTTCGTTCTGGGCACGCGAAAGCGAATGCAACAGCACAATCCTACGATGATGCTCAGCAAAACGGAGAGAATAATGCCGGCGAGCTGCCAGACACGAAATCCTGGAAACGCCTCATTCTCCAGCCATTGTGGCACTGCATCTTCCACATAATCCTCTACCTTTGTAGAAGCTTCGTTCGACAAGCAGGGAGACACGGACGAGGTGCCCGAGAACGGTAAAGTATTGGGTAACGTTGTCTCTTCCATTGTGCTATATAACAAGCGTTTCCGAATCCAAGATCCAAAGATAATAAGTTCAGATCTAAATGTTCCCTCTAATATATCCGAAATTTCGTATTCTAATCGAAAAGTACGACTTAAAAATTTGTAATCTGTAATTTTATTTAATTATATGAAAAACATTAATTATTTTGTCGACTGGATTGTCAAGCACGCGTCGATGCATATTCACTCTCAACAGGACAACCTCTGACTGAGGAAAAAATTCATGGCAGTGTCAGAAGACTGAGGGTGTGTCTGCTTAATTGAACGATATGTTCCGACACTCCCTATTTTACGCCGCTTACTGATTATAGATCAATACTTATAGATGTAAAAGTACGTTGTGTAGATTGTTAATGTCGTTTTATTATCTTTCACAATAATCGAATGTATAGTCATTAAGTAGACGATAAAAGTAGTATCGAAAAAAAAATTATCGCGCTATTTAACAATAATTTTGTTCGTTCGACGATCGAGCTGGAACGTGCAAAATGTGAAAAGTAAAATTGTTAATTGCCATTTTTTTCTTACTGATTTTCTTAGTTTAGTAACTTTTGACGACTTAAATAATGTTGCCCCAAAATTTCATGATGAGTAAATCACAGATTCAACAGATTGAAAATTTAAACGTATTTTTTTTTCTGTCTTTTTAAAGATATCTCACGATTTCATTTTGAAGAATCTCACTGTAACACTAATCTGCATTCAATGTATTCGTTCACAAAGTGCCAAATGTAGTTGAAAATGTAACATATAATAAATTGTTTCATGTAACAACCAGCTTAATATGTAATGGAATCCAAACATCTTGAAGTTTCAGTGGTATTGTATTCCAATCCTAGATCACACTGTAAAAATCGACAAAACGTTTTGCATAACGAGCAATATTCGTAATAGCATTAACTGTCAACCCACAGTACACAGATGTAACAATAGCATCTTCGAATATTCTTTCTGAGTAATTGAGGCGTCGTCGGCTTAACTAAGCCGACACGAAACTGTGATTCTCCTTTCCTTCCATATTCACTTAACGCGACGCTACGTCTTTCCTAAATATAGGGCACTGTTCGTGATACAGATTAAAACTCAAAGGTCCAAAGCACTTAACTCGCCGATACCGCGCGAATCAAGGAATGCCTTTGCGGGAAACCTTGTTTGCAGGACCTTTCCAACCGCACTCTAACTGCACACTCTAATCCTTCGTTCTCTTCCCTTAAGAAGTATCAGCACTTTCGCTCCTCCAGTACACTCATTCTTTCCTGATGAATGTTCGTCCTCTGTAAGGAATTGTAAGTTTAATGTTAAGTTTTTACATATCGTGATGAATCTTGATAGTGTAAAGATCATTATAAAGTAAGCTGAAACAAGCACAACATAAAGTAACATATATTTTTAATTTGGAATGTTATGGACTTTTATCAAATATTTTAAAATATTTTTATATAATATAATGTAAAAGATATAATAATATAAAAGATTCTAAATCATTTATATATGTAATTATGTAATTAAATAAATATGGTACAATCATATAATTGTCACATTTATGTCAATCTACTTTTACTTTATAAAGTCAAATATTTGGTTACTTACGTGATAGTCTTCTTTTCAGTGTTCTTCGATTGAGATCTCGCTCTGTTCAGCACCTTAAGGAAGTCCGTCGTCTTAGTACGCATTCTCGAATGAATATAAACCTTACTGCACTTAATATGATAGTGCAGGTAATTCCTAAACATGTGTATCAGGTCGATGGTATTGTCGCGTGCTTCTCGATTGGTGTGACGTGGAAACAACACTGCAAAGTAAAATTTTACAGAAACTGTCATGTATGCATATCAATCCTAAAATATCAGGGTAGCAAAAAGTTAGCAACAAAAATAATTAAAATTTAAGGATCTAATTATTATTTAAGAAAGATTAATCCCTCACATATAAAAAATCTTTTATTATTTAATCTTTAAAATTCTTGACATTCAAATCTATAAATTTCAAACTTTAACAATAGGTTCTGCATATTATTTTTTTACTTTTCTTTATAAAATAACGAAGAATCGCGTGCATTGCTATGATCAAATTGATGCAACTTAGTGAATGGTTGAAAAAGTAAATCAATCTTTCTTTACCGAACGTGATGTAGCCAATGCAATCTCCAACCGCTGCTTCGGAATCTTGTAGCTCCAACGGCGGCTCGCGATGGTTGAATAAAACTTGCGGAGCAGTGTGGCTTGCTCGCCTGCCTTCTTTCAATTCTTGAAGAAACAGTTTGCCAATGACCATGTCATCCTCATCCTTGAATATTGTGCTAAATACTACTGTGACCCTGTCGCTTTTGGCCTCTACATACCTTGATGAGAGTTAATAAAACAATTAATAATGATAATAATAATAATAATAAGAATCATATAAATTTCTTCAAGTTAATTAAAATTTCTTACATTGTTTCCTCGTCTCGATAATGGATGACAGCCCTTTTCTGTACTGGCCTGCCCGGAGAATCGCAATATTCTTCCTGAAAATCAAAGTACTTCTCAAAGACACTGGCAAAGCAATGTCTCTTCAACAGGGCGACTTTCCTCACTAACGCCTCCCAGTCTTCTGGTAACTTCTCTAAATCTATGAGCACCGATACATTATAACCTGTAGAAATGATAGATGGATTCAAATAATTAATCGTTAAACTCTCTAATTCTTAAGCGAAAAAGTTTGTATAAAAATTCGTAGATATCTAACCACTCTCTGGTGCAATGAGATGGGACCCGTACTCTCGTTTGAGCAACTCATCTGCGTCATATTCTTGCAACTGTTTATAAAATTTGAGCAGAATACTTATCTGCAAAAAAACATATCCATAATATAAAAGAATTGGTGAGTTAATATAAAAATACTACAAAAGATAGTAGCAGACACTGGCTTACTCTAAGCTTCGATTTGTCCCCGCTGAAATTTGAAATGTGAAACAATACTCCGTCAAAGTCCGCTATGACAACATCTGTCGACTCCTGCTTGTGTCTGCCAACAAAACACACATTGTCAAAAGAAGGTAATCGCAAGGATATTGATTTGATACAACTTCAAAAATTTCCAACAGATAAAAATTATTGGTAGCTCAAAAAGATAGGATATGAAGCTAAAATTCTGGGGCGAGATTTGAAGAAAATAAGTGGAGTAAAACGCGAAGGGACGTGATTAGGAAGACGAAAGTAATACGACTCAAAGGAGAAAGCGATCTAAATTTAGATAAATTATTCAGACATAAGAACTTCCCGCGGAGAGATAAATAACGGCGGCAAAATTGCGACGGACACCGCCCCGGCGCCACATTTTCCGGAACGAGGTTATGAGGAGATAAGACGGGCCCTTAAGGATCTTTAACGGGGGCGAGAAAAAGAAGATCGCGCGCACGCGAGGTCCTCACCCTGACAAGGCATTCTTGATTTTGTTCGTCAACGTTTCCTCGAGTATCCTGTTGTGTATCTCCAGCAGGATCATGATTGCTACGCCTGGCAGGAAGAGTCGCGTCCGATACGTTGCGATAACGATAATCCGGGGCACCGTGGTCAGATCGCGACAGATTTGTCATCCGCACTGACTAATGCCCGCCCGATCGCTCGTCCTCTGTCGATAAATGAGACCGACGACTGTCACTTGACCTGCTGTCGATAAAACAGATTCCAATTTCTCGAAAATAAATATTCTGTCGCGTATATTATTGGAAAGAAATCCGAACGTGTGATTCTCAATAAAATACTTCGTCTCTTTCTCTCGATATTTATTTACTCGCGAAATTACGAAAATACTGGCAAAAGGCGAAGAAGCGCGAAGGATTACTCTAACACTTCACGTCACTTATTCCGATTCACTGCGTGCAGTCCGATTCCGCGAAATTCCTTGTATCACGATTTAAATATAACACTCTCGATGTAACGTTATAAACTACGTGAGTAATAGGTTTGTGTATAAAAATAATTTTGTCACTAATATCCGTTTGCCTAAAATAGATTAATCGGTGTGTTACGGGAGTCTCTATCAAATTCTAATTCTCGCGGTAATTAAAACGATATAAAACGAGAAAATATCTTGAAGTATGCAAGGTAAGGCAGGAGAGAGAGAGAGAGAGAGGGGGATACACGAGCGAGTCCACTTGCCGTCCTATACACATTCCTCAAGACATCGTCTCACTTTTAATATCGTCTCGACTGTCGCGAGGATCGGATCTTCAAACGCAAAAAAATCTATCATATATATGTGTTATCGAAAGTGCCGAATTTAATACGCAATGCAAGGAGTAATGAATAAATAGTATAATAGTAGAATAATAATACTGTCTCGATTATGGAGAGTGATAGATCGAACTTTTTGCGATTCTCACTTGCGTTATATACGAAACACACGATTTCTAATATTATCGAAAATGGCAATTCAATCACTGTCTGAATATAACGTATTCGTTTCGGTAAGTGAATAAATTATTCGACGATATATATTTATATAATATTTAATATATGTCCCGTTTATATTTATATTTAATATCATATGTTAAAATAAAAGTGCGTTCTGTCATTCGTCGCTATGAAAGTTTCGTTCGAAAGTTTCGTTTTGACGAAATATTTCTTTGCTTTAATTAATTCAAACTTCTCTCGGATTCGAAACTTTCGTTAGCGTCTAATGAAGCGCACCCAACGTCACGTTTAGTCAAAAATTACCGCTTAGAGTGAATCACGTGTCAAAGTTGGCACCAGTGAGCGAGAGCCATATTTAATTCGCGTGACGCAAGGAATTTCGAAATCGGACCGTGGCGTTTTAACGTAATATATTTTAACGTTCTTCGTCCATAACGTAATTGTGCGCGGTTATTTGTGACATCAGGATGCGCTTGTGCTGGAGATATTCCGGATAGATCGAGCATCGTAAGTATATATCGAAAGAACGAATCGATTAATTGGAAAAAATAGTGATTAACACTGTAATTATATTATGGTTATTAATTATATCATCGTATGATATTACAGTCATAAGAGCTTGTCTTATCGAGTCCGACTCGCAATTTCAGGTTAATTGAGACTAAATATTGTCTGTAATTAATCACGTAGTATCTACCGATCGATCTCGTCGTTATTATATAATAACTATTATTACTTAAATACTGTATATCGGGTCTCGATGATGTTCGATAATTCCATCATGTGATTTTCGCGCGACGTTAGTTCGAAGCATTATATGTATAAAACGTAGTAAAATTTATTGAGAAATTCAATTTTCGAGAATAAATATTGCCAGCAGGTAAGCGTGTAATATTGGAAGTATCGAGAAAAATATCAGGCGACATTGTATTATGCGTAAATATACTATTTTAATATCGATAGTTTCACAATTTCATCACGTGAACTCCGCGCAATTGTAGTTCAAAACATTAAATGATATAATATCGGGAATGCC